TATTGACATTAGTTAACATTTTTAAATTATTACAGTTGAAATAATATAAAAAATCCTTTGAAAACTTAATTAATAAATAATTTGTTGTGGAATATCAGTAGAGAGATTTTCAAGTGTCTAATTTCAGCATTAAAAATACTTTTTAAGTTCTAAAAATTTTGATTAGTTTTTGTAAGAGTTTTTTTAATAAAAAAATAAAATTCCCATTTTAATGGAACGCACAAAAAAGTTAAAAAGTACTTGAAAATGAACTAGGGGATTCAAATATTTGGGTTTTTTTAGAGTAGGCAACGGGTTAGAGGAAAAAGAAGAAAAAAACATGTTGTTTTACACATTCTAATATAATAATATGGTTGAAGTCCGTGAAGCATCTGTGTTTTGCGCGTATTATAATTATTATGTACACTTTGCTGTTATAAAGCTATCGTAATAATACTTAACTTTGACAAGCATAGCAAATTATATTATAAATAGCTTACTTCACACGTGCAAATTTTAAGTATAAAGTGATCGTGAGAATACACTACGCGACGCCTAAGGTCTGCCATTAGTTTAACGCGTTCTAGCGGTAAATAATAATAATAGTAATTGTGGATAATGTGATTTTAAACGGAAATGACTAAGAGGCGCGCAAGGCATTTGGCCCGTCGTAATTCGATTAGAAGGCTTCAAAAGCGGCACCTCGTCTCATATAATTTAAACGTCGCCAGACTCGGTATAAGGCAAAGGACGGAACTACATCTTCTTCGCGGAGACGTGCACCGGCTGGGCGAGTTCCGTTTCAGTTTTCAAACTTCAATTTGTTCTAATTTGCTCCGGATACACGCTTTTGCATTTCCCTCGGATCCACTAAGCGATTTGCCGGCAACAGCAGCAGTAGCTCTTTTTTTTTGTTTCTATCCATTCAATATGTTATACATAAATAAACACAAGTATACTCGGTACGCGCGCACGTTCATACACTTTAAGACACCTGCGATTCGCTGAATTCCGTCATGAGTGTTTATTCGCAGCAGCCGTCCAAGGTGCTCAAACGTAGGTTTGCTTATATGACAGCGATAAAACAATCATCAAAGTTCATATACACTTTAAAAGGCAACTGCGAACGAATAAAATATGGGTTTCCTCGCCTTTTTCATAGCCGAATTTGTATAAACTAAAATTATAATCAAAGGATACATAGGCGGCGAATTTCCATAGTTAGTTCTAATATTGTTATTGGTTTTATTTATATTACTGTCTTCAGCAAGTGGTCGTCATTTCCAATAATTATTTAAACGATTCGAATAGTGCATTTTTTATTCTGACTTTGTCGACAGGCATGTTTTTACTATTTTTTTTTTATCGGTCAAGTTCTTTCGTTGTTCATTATGGCCGTTCGCCCGTGAGTGGCTGTCGACGGAAATCTATCAATTTCTATTCATCAAGCCACGCGCAATACGGCGTTCCGAATAGGTAATTCAACTACACCCGTGTCAACGTCAATCTAAAAAGGAGGTCCGGCCCTTCTTGGAATCGCTTAGAAACCGTCTGGGCGCTATCGTCGCCAAATTCAGGTTATCGGTTTAGACTTAAAAAAATAAAAAAATACCTTCTAAGCTTCGCACCGGGGCTCAATAAAAAGCTACTATAATTTATTTCCTTCCGAGTGTGCCATCGACCATCGCTCGCCGTTTGTTTGTTCTTAGACCGATAAAGTGCTCGCAGTGAGATTTGGATAATTCTTCGGACAAACCACAACAAAACATTTAGAAAAAATGTACACTTATAAATATCTCCGTGAAAATCCATTAATATGGTAAAATATACTCTTTTTCATTATTTCCATTTCCTGTAGCTGTAATCTAAACCGGGAAACCCGCTTTGATGTTATGCGAGTCATTCCGTTTTTGATTACGGATTTTCGATCTTTATGCAACACATCTTCCAAAGTTTTTGTTGGCAAAAAAAAAAACTTTAAAATAATTTTCTTTGTGTTGGAGATTTCTTTGCCGCAGTATGGTTACTTCTTTTCTTTTTTCTTTTTTTTTGCCCTTTAATGTCGTCATTAATTATTCAGAATTTTTAGTATTCTTTAAGCCGTCAAATGTGATCTGCGCACTCGAGGTTTCCAAAAGTCAAGGGTTTTCTTCGACATTCTGAACGCTTGTGTAATTACACAGAAAAATGCGACCCATCCCACATATTGTGTTGCAGCTCGATGAAAATACACTATCATGCCACCCTCTACATACATATTATGGATGCACTGTGGTCTGTCGACAGTATTGTTAACAAAAATAAATTCTGTCGCGTCCCGAAGCCAAACGGACGATGATGAGTCGCAGAACTTTTTGGGGGTCTGAACCAAAAAATACACCAAGTCACGGTTAGTCGATTCTAATAATAGTAACTAGCGTGCACATGAGGGGAACTTTTTTTCACCCCACGGGAAGGAAATTGGAATTTCACCGAGACTGAGACGTTTTATTTATACTTTTTTTCCAGGGAATCAATACGCGCAATAGTGATTTTTTTTTAGCTTTTTTTGTTAGAATAATATGAAAATATATATATGTAAATACATTACACATACGTGTAATTGTTTGTGTGGATAAACGTGTGCCGATCGACCGCCGGTTCATCCGTCGGGAATTGTTTATAATATTTTATTGATGAATACTATTTTGAAAGATACAAAAGTTGTATTTATATTCTCCGAATAAAAGACCATTGATTGTTTCGAAGGACGACCGAGCACACACACACACACACAAACACAAAGTTTGGGTTATAATGTATGGAAATGTGTCGTTATGTCGGCATTTGGCCCATTTAATTTCCGTCGTGTGTGCACAATACATTCTTTACATTATAATATACACCAAGCCTTCACGGTCGTCGCGGTTGTTTTGAATTTCCTGTTTCATTTTTTTTTTTATTAAAAATAACATTTGCCGGAACCGTTGCACATTAATTTCTTACTTTCTTTCTTTTTGACATTATGAATAGCACCGGTTGTGGTGTCTCGTTCTTCTAATTTTATTAGACTTATTAAGAACATAATAAATTAATGAACGATCGTATTAAGTGTATTGCCATCCACGTTTAATAATATTATGTTTTTTACAAACTCAAAAACAAAATTGGATGCGTTTCACGGTGTAAAACAATTATTAGAATATTTTTTACGGCGTTCTGTTAAAACTATTTCGAATAGATTTAGTCGGTAAAAAACAATAGTTACTCGAGCCAGGTGTTAGCGTTAATATTTAAGTGGGGTAAAGCTGTTCATAACAGAATACTCTTAAAAACACTGGAAGAGTTTCGGTAAGCACGGACGTTGCGGTTGTTTGGTTCTAGATTTGTTGGCCAACATTGTTCTGCAGCCGTGCTTCACGTACTGTAAGCAATCATAATTCATACAAAACTTTGGCCGGTAAAAAACGCAAATTTAATAAGCACAAGGTATCCGGCGATCTTGTTTTCAACTTTTCTCAACTTGTTAAATTATAAACATATACCGAAGTCGTTGCTCGACGATAACGATTATAATATTATGACTATAATGTACAGCGGTAATATGTTTAAGAAAAGGTAATTTAAAATTTTCCTATTAACTCTCAAACTGTTTCATTGATAATTTAATAATACTTTTGACTTTTTAATTGCCCTGGATCAATATTATTACCAGACTGATGTAGACGTTATACCACGATAAACGGTAACTGGTAGTAACGTTCTGCGTTTTCAAAATTATCTAGCGGGTGTTTCCAAATATATATTACACCAAAGTAAAAGATACCGCGTCACGTTAGTGTATAAATCACATGGAAAACAACAACCGTATAATTGTAATGCAACACAGAAATTTCCCTTTTTAACGCTGCCAGTTTATTTTCGGTTAAAACGGTAAAATTAATTACATTGCATCCGACCCGCTGTCGGTAGCACGGTTAAGTTTCGTGGACAAAATTAAATAATAAAGACAACTATTGTGCTAGGGGATCTATACTATATTGGTAATTTGTAGAAACCCAACCGAGCAATTAAATGTTATCTCGTGGCCATAATAATACACTACACTAGGTTTTAACTTTTCACTTCGTTAGATTACTTCACAACAAATGACCAAAACAATTTTTTTTGTTTTTTGGAATCTTTTTCGTTTTGTAAGCGCGTGTTGTTTTAGAGCTACTATATTATGTCACGCTAGTAATTCATGAATAACGAATAATATTGTTGTCTATAAGAGATAGTTTATCTCTTATATTATCCTCGTTAGATCGTCAGAATTTTTTGATACAATTTACAAATACAGTAAAGCGGCATTAGATTGTAACAGTTTTTAAAATTATCTTGCCAATGTGAAATCAATAATAATAATAATATAAATTATATAATATATTTTCACTATAGCTGCTATTAAATCACAGTATTAAAAAACAAAACCCACTTTAAATCTGATTGAAATTAAAAAAAAAAACGGAGATTATTGTTTAAATAAATTATAATATGATTATTCCAAAATAGTATAGGCAAGCTCTACGAACAGCAATATAATCTTCTGTGACACATATTTCCGATTAATATGTTTTTATATTTTTATTCATAGTTTTAAAATGTTAAAACCCATATTATTTTTTAGACATTCGAAATTCACGTTTTTTTAGAAGTTGTGGTACCAGTTACCATTACCAGTTTCCAGTGTTACTACTTACTATGTCTGTTATTATACTATACTTACAGAACCAAATGGTTATTTAATCTAATAAATTAACTGTTCAGCCAAACATCTCATTAGCTCATTGGTTGATTTATTTGAATGGAAAAACTTACTGACAATCGTATCACATAAAACTATGTATATACTCTCGAATATGGTCAAAAATAAACTTTATATCTACAACAAAACATTTACAAATTTATTTGTTAATTGTTGAGCTATATTTTTATCTAAACAAATTATTCATGATAAATATAATGTTTTCTTGTAGTTTTAATTTGATTTATATTTACAGGAGCCGCTTCAGCTTCCAAGCTGTACACGGACGCCATAATGAGACTAGCCAGACAGTCGCAACAAGGCACATGGGGTGGTTCGGCCGATATAGGTAAGAGAAAATAGTTAACTTTGTATGGGCTTTAGTTACATATATTATTCTACGAATATGATATAATCTTTGTAGATCGTATAAAAACTGTACATATAAAACCACTTATTGAAAAAATCAACAATTCCAGTGTACCCCCCAATCTATCTAAGTCCTAAAGCAATATTATTTCAGTGTTGATTTTTCTACCCGGCACGTTTAAAAAAAAATGTATAGATCGGTATTGTACCGGTTTAATTGATTTAGGCCTGAAAAAAAAACAATAGGCAATTATTTGAACGCCACGTGTACCAATAATATTGTTATATATTGTGTATAAATGTAAATTATATGGTTCGTGACATTTTTTTTTTAATTCTCTGAAAAACCTCATTTTTTTTTTTTTTGTAGGCAAATCTATTTGCCGGCAAAAACAATACAAAAATGGTAAACGGTTAATTCTTGCGACGACACCATAGCCGAACAACGGTGACAATGTAAATACAAAAAACAAATATTTCTTCTGCTTCTACTCCTCTTTCCTGTGTCCGTCTTCACTGCGCGTCAAATTAGCAATCAGCTTTAGCCGAAAGATAAGCAAATATTGATTCTTGCGCTTTTCGCGTCGTTCGCAAAGAGTTTTTAAATAAACACAAATATAGTTATCTTATAACGAGTTGAAGAAAGCACATCGGATTTACAAACGAATATTTCCTATGGTTTCCGTGTAAATTACTACAAGGGGAGTTAATGGCAACGCAGTCTACACATCACGTACGTTCACGTCGTTTCAATATATTTGTATTTAAGCTTAACGTTATGTTACAAGACATCGGCGAAACTAGAACAACCACCCTAGGCTTTAATGGTAACCGTAAGTTATGATGTTATACGGAACTAAGAAAATCGGATTGTTAACCGTCGTGGCTTTAGCCTGATAAATTTATCGAGTTGTAACACAAAGGAAAACGCTAGACACTAGAGTCTACAGTAATATTGAAAATGTATTTTAATTAAACGGCTTAACCGTTAGTGTTTTGTAAAGCTCGTTATAATATATATATGTTTTTTTTTTTGTTGCTGAAAATCAACTCTTGTGTACAAAAAGATGTAACACATCTAATAACGGCTTTGCGGTACGAAATCCAATTTTCTGTGGCATAACACAACAGTTAGTAAACACAGTAGTTTCTATAGTGCGGTAATTACATAAGACTGTGTCTTTGGGAGTTTTCCATGGTAATTTCTCAATAAAAAACCACTCTCTAACCGCTGTTTACTTGCGCAGTGCGACAACAATTTCGTCTAGCCGTTCAATTTCAGTTGAACGAACAAGAATAAGAAAACATATTTTGCTAGCTGTCCAAAGGGGAAATTCGGATGTACGATTTATAACCCGTTCGGCGTGTAAAGTACTTATAATGACTTCCTAGTTCTGAGTGCCGTATTTGTTGCTTACGGCTAAAGTGTACTGCGTTAAACAAAATAAAAAGTGCGTTTGTGAACAAATACAGCTAGTTAAACATTTCCATCAAATGTCTTATAACGTCAATTTTTTAACTTAATAAAAATCACTTCTCCTTGGTGAATATACAATATTTAAAAACGAGAACGGCTTGCAACATATTATATTCGCTGTTATAATATGTGAGTGCAGGGCTGAGTTCTTCAATTAAGTAAAAAATATGAGTGCGGATTTGACGTTAATTGGGTTCTAAAACGCATACTAATCGACCCATCAACCTGTTTTTTATTTTACTGCTTTTATTTTTATTTTAATGCTGTCGAGAGTTTTTTCCCTATAGATATTGACAGAACCATCACCGTATATCTTTCAGCTAAACCTTGTAAACGCCTCCATAGGTTAATTTTGTACATTACTTTCGTTTACCAAAGCATTGATTACAACGTTTTCTATTAATATTTGCTAACTGTATTGCACAATTGGCTGCGCTTTGAAAATAAGAAATATCAATAAGTAATAACAAACATATAATAATAATAATAATAATAATAAAACCGTAACGAGTAAGAATTAAACTAAAAAATATAACGAACTGGTCGTTTTTATCGACGTAAAACATATTTTTTTTTGTGCCTAAGCCAAAAGATAAAAGTTATTAAAAGTCTTCTGCCCTAAACGCGAAAATCACCCCACCACCCAGTCATCAAAGTATTAAAGTGAGATTAATACTTTAAAATTATCCTTAAAGTGTTTTAAAATAATGCTTTACATTTCAACAACATTGTAACTATATTAATAAAAAGTTTAAAAATACAAAAATACTTTTTGTGTTGTTAAATTTTACATTTGTGAAAAATATTAAAAAACCAAAATATATCCATCCTAACCCTTTCCTTAAAAATATGTAAACATTTTTTTCATAGATTTTTTATAAATAAGATATGAAAATTATACTAAAAATAGAAATTAACCCATTATATAAGTATAAAAGTTTAAGTCTTTAACTCGTTTTTATTTTTATATTTTGGGTAAAATGAAAATATATATCATCTACAAATTAGCATTGTAGGCAGTAGCTATTTCTAAAAAGTGATATTACTGCTATTAGACATGAAAATGTTTATAAGCTAGTGACCACCTTAGGGTTCTCATAATTGTATTTCGTATTTTTTTCACGATACTTTCAACGTAAAGTTACTGGTTACACATACAAAATATCGTTTAATCGCCCAGTCCACTTTATAAAAACCAATAAATAATCTCATTGTGGATATTTCTTACCCTCTTCGGAAATTCTTATATCCGTATACTTGACGCATACCATATTAATATGAATGGATAATGTAATGTCGTTACTTTAATATTATTATAAGCATTAAAACGAATGAACGGAAACGGCTACTAATATAATGTACAAACGACTCGAGTACATTTGTATAATATTGCTAGTACCCATTATTATAATATAGTATATACGACATCATGTTATTTGTACTATTGCATTAGGTATAATATGCGGACCAAACATAATATTTGTCAGACCACTCTTGTGATATGGTATTATTAGTCGTTTTTGAAACTAGAATTAAAAGATTTAAATCCAATACTAATGTAGTGTAGTGTATAGAAACTAATAATCCGTAAACTCGTTTAATACGAAAGATACAAATAACAGCTATGATTTGGCATTATACTTACAAAACAATGTAATTTTATATACTTCATCATTTTTTACATTTTCAATGCTTTATGGTTTATATGTTTAAATTGTTATAAGTTATCTTATTAAAATCATAATATAACTCTTCTTCATTCTTTACACAAACTTGCAAAATATTTTAGTTAATTTATAATTATGTACAACTACAATTAAAAATTATACATATAAATTATTATGGAAAATTAAAAGGCGTTCCCGGTCGATAAACGATAAATCACCTGCTTGGAGTGTAATGGACGAGAAACGGATAGAGTGTGATATGCGTGTAGTAGAAGGTCGGTGTTTTCCTCTGTGAGGGCCAAGATCATCTGCAAGCAAGTTGGATAACCGACACAAGTGCAGTAAATCTCTCGAGACGACCTGCGTTCGTGCAGTGACTTGTGCGGTCCCGGCCAGTTATCGTTAAAATCTCACAAAAATAAAAAAAGTTTATAGAAATTACTACCAGGCCTCCTTACACTCGGATTCCTCGGATCGGATAAAGCAATAATCTCGGCAGCAGTCAAGATTCACTTGTGCGTTTTGCCGGTAAATTTTTTTTCTTCGGCCACGACGGCATTGATACGGTTTTTAATTAACCTAGCTATACGATTAATATAAGAGGCGCGACAGTAACCATAAAGAACCATTGAACACGTGGATTGTACAGTCTATACAGAATTTGTGTATAGACGTTGAGTTTGGAGTACACACAAGCGTTCAACCGATTTTTATTGTATATAAAACCACATTTTTTTTTTTAATGAAAAACAAATAGCCAGCGCCGGATTCGTTCCGGGATGTCGGACAAAATAAATCCTATTCTTACCTAGACAATAGATAGCATGCACCAAAAACTTTTTTTTATTACGAGAGAGAAAAAAAACTCAACCCGACCATAGGGTCGGTATAGACCGTGCGTACAATATAACGCTGCTGCTCGTCCTCCTGTAGGAGAACGGGATGGGGCCGTAAACTATAATATTTTTTATTGCTAGGCCGTGCTTTAATGGAAAATAATTATTATACCTACGACAGACAAGATAGCGTATGCGACGAACTTGCGTGAAACGTGACTGCGGAGAAAAGAAATAAAATGTCACAAAAAAATGGAAATAAGTCACCGCCGTATTGGCTTTATGTTCGGAAAACACGAGCGTTATCCGTGACAACTTAATATCGTAAGAACTTTGCAACGATAGGCCATGGTGCCTGTATAATAGTACACGGTGGTCTTACCCGGTCATGTAAACGTTGTTTTCCTGTCGGGATAGGCGCTTAGATGATAGTGTTTTCGACGGGGGTGAATTGAAATAGGGGAAAAAAACAACACACAAACGCCGCCCATAATTCTGTCGATTGTATTGTGTCGGCCGGGGTTGTTTTACCGATAAAAAGCCCACTTTCACCACCCTGTCGTTCCCCGGCTCTGTAACGCCGCCAAACCGCTCGGAAATTTATTATGGCGCCATCATGCACTATAACTGCAGTGTTTTTCAAATAATGAAACAGCAACAGTCAAAGGCCGTAAAAGCCTGGAGACCCGAAGATAAGCCGGTTTTCTACGGTTTCGGTTAGGTGCTTCCGCCTCGGCCGCCTTCCCCTAGAAAACGCACCGATCGGAAAACTCCATACACACACTACATATAATATAATATATTATATTATGTGCACTTGCTTTTGTATGGGGGGAATTAAACGTACGGCTGCCGCGGCGACAAGGCGTTTGACCCTTATCGGCAAATGAAAACTTAGAAAATACTTAAGGGATTTCCGCGTTCGGGTTTCTCCCCGCAAGTGTGTGTGCGTTTGACATGTATAGGTATTGCAGCCATAACAGTAGGAATAAACCAACCC